GATAAAACACCGCTCTTTGCAACAACCCCAAACCCTAGTTTTTTTTTTCCCTCTTTAAAAAACTCATTCTAATCCAACACCAAAATCATGACCTCATTTTGTGCGTGCTGAATGATGTTAAGGGATAAGGGGGTTTAGTCCACGGGAGATAAAAATTGCATTTTTTTACCAAGTAATTATTGAACAATTCTCAGTATTGGCTTTGTGGTGCATTTCTGCCAAGTGCTTTCAACTGAGGGATTATGTACGTTCAAATTTCTTTTGGGAGCTAAGCTGTATCTGTTTTTCCTAATTTATTTTGGAATCACTTGTTTTATGATTGCTGGCAATTAGAATGTTTTGGTGTCTGTATAGGGAACATGCTCAATGGTTATCATTATTTCACCCGACACTGTTATGTTTACCTCCTAGTTTCTACGAGGCTTTCGTTGGAATGCAAATTTGAGTTTGGGGCTTCTGTTTTCCATGAAACTCCTCATGGGTGTAATGTTCAGTTAGCTATCCCAAGATTAATGAGTGAATTGTGGAGACTTAATATCTACTTTCTAATTGGTTTTTCATGTATGTAATATACGTGCTCTTTAACAAATGAATATTATGATTATTAGTTCATCGCTCAGTGAATGTTTGGTTGTGCATAAAATGAAATGATTATATTGTTCTTTTATGTTTAGAGCTTTGGCCACTGAATGGCTTTTAACACCTATTGCCAGCAACGAATTTCCATTTTGTTTATTCTTCTAGGTAAGGTAGGATTAGATTTTCTTTTTGGCATGTTGTGGTGGCTTTTTGATATGTAATTGGATGTGTTCTCTTCATTGGAAGTTCTTTAACTTACCTATACAAGACTAATTATTTAGTCTTTGTGTGTGCAAGAATGCAAGTTACATTGACGGTTGTCTAAGTTGGCAGTTATCATGGGATCAGCTTGTTGTGTTGCTGCAAAGGATCATACTATTCCCAGAAGAACTGGAGGTGAAAGTATACATAGAAATGGCGTATGTTCGCCGTCATGGAGTTTTCAGTGGGATAGTTGGGGCCGTGTTGCTGGTGAAATTGAGGATCCTTCCTTTCACTCATCTCGCAGAGTCAGTAGAAATGTAAGCATGGAGTTAAAAGGGTCATTAAGTTCTGAAAGAGGCAATTTATCTGATGGGGGAAGCACCCTGGATAATTCCGTGTCATCTATGTCTCAGAAGTCCCCTGTTCGGGAGCATTTGGTTACAAGTCAGATGACTCTATCTTCAGGTAAATGTAAACTCAATTATTCTTTTGCAGAATGTACTGGAACATTAGCTTATGGCGGTTGATGTTTTTACTGTCTCAGAGTAACCCAAATTTTGAAAGTAGATTTTGCTGGTGGATAAATTCTTTTGGCAATTATCTTTGAATTTATTATGCTCACTCCCTCAATCTTCACTTTTTCCATTAGACTGGTTATTACGCTCACCTGACAAAGGGGTAAAGTGAGGATCAATATAAGGGTGACTTGATCATATCAATAGACCCCTTGCACTAAGTGGCGGGGCTGTGCACTTTCAGGGCTTAAAAGTTCCTTTATCAATCATTGCTCTTTCTAGATTCATTTCTTTTGCAAAAATGAAATCCAGCTTTTTCAATTTTACTCATGTCAAGATTCTATTTTAATAATTTTATTTTCTATGCAAGGATCACTCTTTCAAACTAGTGTGCTCTATATCATGTATTGCCTTTCATCCGCTGTTTGTTTCCTGACTATAAGATTTTCTATTTTGGTGATATGTTGCTCCCTTTATCCATATGATCATTGTATCTGGTTCCTTGTTTGCTGGTTTTTTTGTTTGGGAATTAATTTTTTTCTCTTCTTCCTGATTGTGCTTGTTGCAGATTTATCCATGTCAAGTAATTGCTCCGCAGTGGTGAGTTTGAACTGCTAAATTTGATACGGACAAATTTATCAATATCCGAGTTACAAGCCTTCTATCATTTTGCACTGACCTTACTCTTCTATATTTCTCTTTAGGTGAAGAATCTGATTGGATCACCAGAGATTGCAGAATCTTCAATACCAAATCATTCAATACCTTCAGTTTTCTCAACTCCTGGGACAGATTCCATGCCTAATCATAATTATCACAATCTTCCTAGCTCAACCCTATCCAGATGGGCTCATCGTTCTCCAGGACACCCACTGTTGAGACAAATATCTGATAGTCGAATTCTGGGCCTGAAATCACCTGACACCTCAATTTCTGAAGGCAGGCCATCATTTGTACTCTCCAATTTTAGCAATGAAATGGCAACAGGATCCCAATGTGGGTCATCTGATGGCTGGTCTATGCGCACCTTTTCTGAAATGGTGGCCTCATCTCAAAAGGAAAGGTGGTCTTTTGATAGTGAATATTCGGGTTCAGGCCATCAGAAGATAAGTGGAACTAGTAGCAGATTCTCGTACTCTCCCTCAATGGATTTACAGACTTGTGGGGCTTGCTCCAAGCCCTTGACCGAAAGATCTGCATGGGGCAGCCAGAAGTTTATTGCCGGCAATGACCTCTCAGTTGTTGCTGTACTGGTGTGTGGTCATGTATATCATGCAGAATGCTTGGAGACTGTGACACCGGAGGCAGATAGTTATGATCCAGCTTGTCCAGTTTGTATGGTTGGAGAGAAGAACTTGTCAAAGTTTTCCAAAAAGGGTCTTAGATTGGAATCAGAGACTAAGGCCAAAAGCTACAAGATATCTAGAAACCGAGTAGTTGATAGCTACCTTGATGGTGGATTAGATGTTTTTGATCGGCTAAAAGATGTAGTTTCAAATATGGAGCCTAGCTCCAGTTCAAGGAGTTCATTTGGAAAGCCCTTCTTGAGGCGGCATTTTTCATTGGGATCCAAATGGAGCCGGTCCCTATTAGAGAATGATTCTGCTAGGAAGAAGGACTTTTGGGCAAGATATCGTAAAGATTGAGCTTTTTTAGTAGCAGCAACAATCATACTAGTAACCCCCAAGTTAGAATTTCATGTTTCCTATGCAGTCTAGCTTTAGTAGTAGTTTTAGACTTTTAGTTTAGATTTATTTCAAATTTATTTTGAATTGTCACCAGAAGTTCTCACCATGTTGTTGTTCATATTAATTGTATGAATGAAGCTTCTTTCGACAAAAATCAGAGCATTAGGCCTTAGCAGCGACGAACACTGGGATGCGAAGAAACAAATACACCGTGTATTAAAACGGTTCACTTGTGTTGTAACAACATTGACTCGCTCAACCTGCTCGAGGTATTAAAAATTACATACGGTGATCAATGTTTAGTTCATTGTTAGTCTAGAAATATTTACGTATTGCATACTTTTTTAAGTCAAATTGGCATCAAACGATTAAACAAAAAGAATAATACGTGCTATTCTTTGAAAGAAATTAAGGTGGATAATATCACTAGTGTGACGTGCTTTAACAAATGAATGCGTCCGTCAAAAAACGGCTGAAGATAATCAAAATGACCTCAATGTACAAGTATGTGTCTCTATCGCTGTCTCTGTATTCTGAAAACAACACTCCCGATCCGATCAGTTTTGGGTTCTCACAGTTGTGACTTTCCGTACTGTTACTGTGTATTTAACACCAAATTGCCCAGTAAAAGGCTAAATTAATTAATTTAAATATAGACATTTACAGAATACCGAGTATTACGTGTATATTATGAACTCTAATTCAATTAATTGAATTTGTCAAAAAACTTAACTCACAATTCTGAAATTCAAGAAGTAAATAATTATATAACACTACCTACTTTCCTTTCCCTCCCGAAAAAGCTTGTTTAAACCTCACCACATATAATATCATAATATCCAGAAAAACTTAACAGTTATTATTCTACTCTTTCTTTAAATAAACAAAATAATTTGACAATCAAGTAAATATGCAAAATTAAGAAATTTTAATTTTTATATATAAATCAAATTAAGCACATGCCAAGATCAAGTATAAAATACGTGAGTCGCGCGTTTACAATAATATAATTCAATCGAACATCCCTTTAGCGTTTGACAAAGTTATCCTTCCAAATCTAGAATTCGTATAGCCCAAAAAGGGAACATGACGCTAACTTGCCCGAGGGTATTTCCAACTCTCAGATGCACTGCCTAGATATCCATGGCTCTGCAAGAATATTGCAATAGATTCTAGTCTTTACCAAAATCAGCACTATAGTGTGCACTGGATTCAAGTTTCTTTGCCTCATTCAGTTTCCTAACAGCCTGGAACCAAAATAAGAAATAAAATTATTGTCCCGTAAGTGTCAAGGAGAGGTAGACCACGTGACCATTATAACAAAATTTACTTCCTAACACAAGGAACTCACCTTCATAAAATCTTCATGGATCACGTAATCACGCTCTGCACGAATTGCTGACATTCCAGCTTCTGTGCAGACATTTCGAAGATCAGCCCCATTAAATCCCTGTACAATTTGCAAACACATCAGACATGCACCAACAGTTAATAAAAGCCCACCCGCACTACCAAGCCACCTGTACTCACCTCTGCAAGCTTCACAACAGCTTCGTAGTCTATTTCACCATGCTTAGCGATCCCAGCTGCATGAATCTTGAGAATTTCCATCCTTGATTGTTCATTAGGAAGAGGAATTTCTATTTTCCTATCCAATCTCCCAGGACGCAGGAGAGCAGGGTCAAGAACATCAGGCCTGTTTGTTGCCATTATCATTTTAACCTACAGCAGAAACAATGACAACAATGTCTTCATGAATCCACTATTATAGTTTTGCTCAACAGTCATTTGAATAAAAAAAATCACCATATCTATAAAAATACATGAATGACAAAAGGTCAATGCTTTTATATTTATTTCATTTGTATTATATCATATAAAGGAATGATCATCTAATAAAATATTCCATACCTTAAAAGTATGTACGAAATTGATTTTTAACTTTACAATTTCATATTACGGGAGAGAAAAGGCCATGAAATAGCAGCTCTTTCATTTGAATAAATGATCAGTGCAGAATTCATTTATAAACATTGATTCATGACAATTTGCCAATGAATCCAGATTCGAAACAATTTAATAAGTAAAATTGAAGCATCAATCTGAAAGCACAAGGTATATGAAATGTACTTTAACTTATGGACTCAGTGCATTACCACCAGTCCACTGCTCACCCCATCCCCAACTAAAAATATTTTTGGCATATCCCTTTGCTTTTGTGAATATTCAGCCCTAAAAAATTGCTACGTGATAAAGCCAAGATACAGATTCCACTATTGTCCTCAACATTTATTCCCTCAAAGCACATTCTTACTCTTGAAATCTTGTCCTATGCAAAACCATAGCAGCATAGTGAACATGTGGGACATGGAACACAAGTTAATTTTTTTTACTGTACAAGTATAAATGTTGTGTCCTATTGAGTGCCCCAAGGGCATTAATTTAGAAACCAATAAACAAAGGTTTTTATTGGAAATCATGGTGAGAGTGCACTGACAACATTAAATGTTACACTTATCTATAAAAACGTTCCAATTTTGATTCCTTAATTAGTACCCTTGGAGCATAGATTACCATTATCCAAATTTTATTTAATATACACAGCAATGTCTATAACAGTGTTTTAAAAAAAACTATCGTGTTTTAAATCATATTAGACAGTCACATGTACACCAGTGCAACACAGCTCAATAAAAAGAATAATAAAGCATCTAAAAGACTAGGATATATGAGTGGCATTTTGTACAGGCTTACTAGAGAATCACAAACTCACCATCCACTTACCTCCACACAAAAAAATGATAATACATAAATAAGTAAAAGACAAAAAGTTCCTTAACCTTGAAATTTGCTAAGGTGGAAACTGTTTTTAAGTCGAGTTGATCATGGAATAAAATATACCTTCCCAAGTTGATCAAATCCATCAAGTTGATTAAGCAGCTCCATTAGTGTTCTCTGAATCTCACGATCAGCACTTGTTCCCTCACTGAAACGACGACCACCAATGGCATCGATCTCATCCATAAAAATGATGCAGGGCTAATCAAGCAAAGTGTAGATTTAGAATGTCTATCAATTAGTTTATATAAACCCATAGGAAGACAACTTCACACATGTATCTTACCTGGTGATCACGAGCATAACCAAACATCTCTCTGATTAACCTGGCACTTTCTCCTATGTACTTATCTATTATGGCACTTGAAACAACCTGCACCAGAATGAAGAGAAGGTAAAATACATATTTTACAATGAAGAAAACTTCAAAGCACACAGAATTGATAAAAGAAACAGAATCTGACCTTTAGGAAGTTAGCATCTATATTACTGGCAATTGCCCTAGCTAACAATGTTTTACCAGTACCAGGAGGCCCATAAAGGAGAACACCCTGAAAGATTAGAATTAAAAAGAAAAGATGTTGGTCAAATGTAAAATTTAAACGTATGGCCAAAAGTATGTCCCCTAAAAAAAACCTCCCACTGAAAAAGAAAATTAGAAATGAAATGACAAAGCTACTAAATCACAAATTAACACTAATAGAGGTCAGAGACTAGAAAGTGCAGTGAAAAGGACCTTTGGAGGTTTAATTCCAACTCGAAGAAATAGCTCAGGATTCATCAGAGGTAGTTCAATTGATTCCCTCAATTCCCTGATCTGATCAGATAAACCACCAACAGCTGAGTAGCTGATATTACCAGGATCTTCGTGCAGCATATTGTAAACTACTGGATCAACCTGGCAACTCAAATGATAGAGACAATAGTGACCACAAGGGATAAAAAAATATCTGATGATCTTCAGAAACTAAATAAATTGATTGCCCAACAAGACAAGAACATGATCATAAAATGAAAATATTAAAATATTAAAATGCAATGACTTACTTCCCGAGGAAGAGCTCGCATTATGGTGAGTGTTGTCATATCAAGAACCACCCTTGTCCCAGAAGTCAATTTTTCCTTATCCACTTTACTGCGGCAACCAACCACATACCTGGGACCGCTGCTTGCTTTAACAATCACTGAGGAAATAGTAACAAACAATTCCTATAATCTTTGACTTACTTTAAGTTCATATCAATCAGGAAACAGATGGGGTAATTTATTGGGTAGCAAGCTCAAAAAATTGAATTATGAGAAGAAAAAAAATCAACAATGAATAAGGCACACATTTTATATTCATATGAAATAAAAACTAGCTCAGGGATAAAGTCAAAAACAAAAAGAAGAACTTAATGTAATTTAATATTTATAAAATGCTTGGTTGGCAACACAATCAAAGAAGGAAGTTGGACAATGAGAAATTGATAAAACTTTGGGAGAACCACACCACAAAAGCTAGTTGTAGTTGGAGAGACCTGGGCCCTATAAATCCCACACTGCCATTGTGGGACTAAATGTCAATATCCATACCTTGTAATTGGATCCTAACATCCCACCCCACGGGCTAGTTGTGCACTAGCCCTTTGACTAGTCCCAGCTAAACGCTGCAATCCTGGCATCACCACCCACACAGCTCCTTTCCAATAGAGACATGGTGGAAGACTATAATACCTATTGATATGAACCTTGGTAGAACCACATCACAAATGCTAGTTGTTGTAATTAAAGAGGCCAAGGCCTTATAAACCACACACTAGATTCTCATCCTTCCAATGTAGGACTAAGAGTCATACCTTGCCATTGAATCCTAACAGATATCATTCAAATAAGAAAATAAAAAGACAGAATAATTACAGCGCTCATTGTCAAGAGGCCGGAGAACTTCGCCAATGATCTGCCCAACACTTTGAAGAGACTTCAAATCATCTTCTGTTTTATTGAACTCTTTCTTTGAGGCTCGCAAATTCTCCCTGACTGCAATTTGAGATTTTAATCTAAAGTCAGTAAATAGTCGGTCTAATCTATAAGGATTCAAGTCAAAAATTGAAGACTAGAGAAAGAAAGTTGTGCCACAAATGGTATAATTAATAACCGTGTTCTCTCTGACTAAGAACTGTGTCAACCAGGAATTCACTTGTTTCATCAAAAGAATCTCAGTTGATTTTAACAACAGATCTAGCTGATAGCCTTACTCTTAAGTTCCAGAAACAAATGTAAAACAATCAAAAACACATTTCATCTAGGTCAGGCAAACTGCACAAAATTTCTCCCAAAATAACCCAAAACCTAATCTAAGAATATAATAGGGTTGCCTGACATCAAACGAATCGACAATTACAAAACCCTAAACAGCGAATTTCAAGAATAAGTAAAAAGTAAAAGAATGGAGGAATTGTAGAGGGTATTAAAAGTGAGAAACAAACCGGATCGAACTCTGGATTCCAATTCCTTGTGCTGAAGAAGTTTCTTCCGATACTCGGCGACCGCATTACGGCGTCGTACGGCATCATCGGCGTCAGCCATGGTTGTGGCGCTTCGGAATCGCAAGAAGGAGGGTTAGGCCGAAGCGGAACGGAGAAGCAATGTATTTAACTTGTGAATGTGACTATCAAAGCTTGAGCTGACATCACAAGTTATGTCTCGCAATTTTACCACTAACCCTACTATTTAACACCACCACCAAATTGTCATTCCCCCAGGTCAAAATAAAATTATAATTTTAAATAAATAAGGTTGTTTGTCTCGTTTTATTTATTTTTTTAAAAATATTTTTACTTTTTTCTTTTTATTTTTTAGTCCTTTTGATTCATTAAAAATTAAGACAAATATAATTATTTTGTATTTAATTTATAAAATAATCATGAGATAAGATAAAAAAAAGGATAAAATAAAAGTTCAAATTTTTATTATTCATGGAAAATCTTTTTTCTTAAGTATAAAAACATTCATTAGCATATTGTTGTACCAATACCACTTTGTCTCTTATTGTGTTGTCCAATACCACCACTATAGTCATCGTTTACCACTGTCGCTGACTTAACTCATTATCATCAATATCATCATGTATCATTATATCCCTATTATTGTCATTGTTGTTGTCGTTATTGCCACCATGACCAATATTATTGTTGTCATCACACTTCTTGTCACTATCGTTCTCACTTGGTTACGACTTTATTTGTGAAACTCATTAAGTTATCGGTCCTCCACACAACTTAATTCAACTAATTTGGAATTGGATCTCCAGCACCTCTATTCAAGTTCTTGGGAATGGAGAGATTCTTCAAAAGTTCACTCCAATTAGGGGCATTCGTCATGGTGATTCCCTCTCTCCCTTACTTTTTATCTTGAGTTCAAAGAGGTTATCTTAATTAATTGAACTTTTTTTTTATATAGAGATTGGTTTTTAGAAACATATATTCAAAGGAGGTCCTAAAATATCTCATTTTCCTTTTTGTGAACATCATTCTCTTTGTTGAAGCTAATATTGAGCAAGCTACTTTCATTAAAAACTGTCTTGGACATTTTTGTTCCAGTGCTAGTCAAACTATTAGTGTGAAAAAGACTAAGATTTTCTTCTAAAAAAATGCTAGCTAAAGGATAAGAGAGAAAATTAGTTATGAATTGGGCTTTGGTAGAACAAATGACTTGGATAAATATCTTGGGGTCAAGATTCATCACCATAAAGTAAAGAAAACTACTTACAAAAATTCATAGACAAGGCAATTAGTAGAATGCCGACTTAAAAAGCAAATGATTTATCTTTTGCTTGTAGAACCACTATAGTCAAATTACCTCTTTCAACCATACCATCTTATGTTATGCAATTTGAACACATTCTTAGAGTTATTTGCAATGATTTGGAAAAATTGAGTAGGTCCTTCCTTTGAGGTGACCATTTGGGATCTAGGAAACTTCATACAAAGGGGTGGAATTTTATTTGTTTGCCAATAAATTTTGGGGGACTTGGCATAAGACATGTGAAGCGAGTAAATGATGCCTATATACAAAAGTTAGCTTGGGAAATATGCACTAATAGTGATAAACTTTGGGTGACAACTCTTAAAGGTAAATACTAGTGCATAAATCACATTATTCCTCATGACTTAGAAGAAATGTTTCAATGGGTTGGAGAGGGATAAACTCTTTTTGGGACAATTTATGGAATTTGTCTTTTGACAATTAGGTGATGGTAAAAATATTTTATTTTTGATTGATGCATGGATTCATAATGTTGGAAAGTTGTCAACTTATGCTATAAGACCTCTTTGTAATGTTGATTTACAAAAGAAGGTGGTGGGGACAATTTTCATGGGCATTAAGGTGTCATCTTATATATATGCAATTTTTATTACTACAACATATGGTTCTTGAAATTCTAGATATTTACATGAATTGCTTTTAGCTTATGTCATAAATTATTCTTTTTATCTTGCCCCCAACTCAAATGCTAGAAATGATTTTCTTGTTTGAAAACATACAAGAAATGGTCTTTTAATCTTGCTTTTGCTTATGCATCTTGGACAAACCATGAGGGTCTTCAACCAATTTAGATTTTCCAAATAGTGTGAGCTTGGCCAAGTCCAAAAAGGGGTAAATCTTTCCTTTGAAAGACAACTCATATGGTATTACCCACAAATAATTGGAGATTCCACTGTAGTATCATTCAAAATGACCATAGCGCTCTATGGTCAACAAAATGAAACTCTCTCCCACTTATTTAAAAGACTATCCTCCCCATTCCACCTTTTGGTGTCTTATCTTAGCTAGACATCATCACATAGACCATGATTTTTGGATTATGGACCCTACAATGTGGCTTTAATCTCATTTAGATCAAAATCATGTGAAAAGTCCATGGTGACAATTGTGTTTTAAGTTTCTTTTAAATGAAATTTGGAAGCGAAGAATTGGTGACATTTTCAACCAACTTTGCACTAGTAATTATGCCATCCACGTCAATGCAAACCACTTGGCCAAAAACATGCTTAACATTTTGAAGGAACAACAACAAAGTAATAACATCATTTTCCTACATCAAAAAAATTCTCTTGTCTTCCACCAACTAGAGGGTGGGTGAAGCTCAATTGTGATGGAGCTCATTCTTAAAGCTCCGACTTATCCTCTGTCGGTGGTATTGTTAGAGATCATAATGGATATTTCCTAACTATTTTTGCTACAAAGTTAGGGCAATGCTCCATAGTCTAAGTCGAATTCTAGGCTATTTATCATGCTGTCAAACTAGCAATAAGTAGGGAGTTATCAAATTTGGAGATAGAAACCGATTCTTTGATTGTCATTCATTTTTTTGAATGTAGGAGTTAATTCTCATCATCATTGCTATTAGGAAGATTTCAGGTATGCTCATTTCGTCTGCCTATTTGTGCTACAATCACATTCTTAGAGAAGCAAACTGTTTGCTAATGCTCTTGCAACTTTTGATTTATCTAAAATTATAATTTCTAGAATTTATGATTTTGTTCTTGACTTTTTATGTTTGTCTTTGTTAGCTGATTCTTCGACTATTGTATTTAAACGCTAATCTAGTTTATTTTGGTCGTTTTGACCCTTTATATCACAAAAATAAAAAAAAATCATTATGATAATTAATTTTAAAAAAGATGTTATAACAAATTTAACATTATTTTTGTTTGTGTTGTCTAATATCCATAAAATAATGTATAAAACAAAAGTTGTTTAATAACTCGAGCATTTATTTTGTATTTTTCCTTAATTATCACCTTAAGATGTATCAAACACTATTTTTTTAGTATTCATTTTAAGTTTTTTTATTATTAATTTTAGTTAATATAATACTGACATGATTAATAAAATAAAATATTAATTAAAATGATGAAGAATAAGATAATTAAAATAATTATGTAATATATTTTAATATTTTGTATAAATAAGATGATTGTATACAATAAATATTTAATATATTAATTTTTGACAGTTATTTTTTCACTTTTTATATATAATATTAAATATATTATAAACAATGTTTTTTTAATTATACTCAATGTTATTCTTATTTTATAATTAATTATTTATTTTAACATTGCACTTTATATATACATATACATACATTTTTAAATAAATAAATATAATTATAATCATCTTAACTTAAAATATTTTTTTATTACTTTAATTATTTTAATTGATATTCTTCATTTTATTGATCATGTAAAATTAAAAAAAATAATACAAATTACAAGAACTAAAATCAAATAGTTCCTCGTCTCTTAAAAATGGGGAAAGAAGAGTGGGAACATCGGCAAAAATAGTAATTATAATTATATTTTCTTTTCTTTTCATTTTTTAAATTCACAAGATACAACCTTTTCCTCACTTTGTTATGTGCCAAATATTGTAGTGCCATTTGAGAGATTTCGATGAATGTTAAAGAAATTACGTTGAAAAGAATTTTGATACAAACATTATTTGCTTGTGTATTAGCAAATGATGAACATAAAATATTTATAGATGCATTACTGATAAAAATTAAGATATTAGAATTACAATAATCAATTCATTCAAAACCTATCAAATAAACTATTTATTTTAATTATATAATGTTTACGACACTGTGATTGACGTTTATCTCGATATCTATTTATTTTATTTTAATTCAGATTATTTTAAATGGTTTTATTATTTAAATAGAAATGAGTAATACTTTTCTGTTTTTGTTTAATAAAAATTAATTGAATTATAAAAGTTAAAAAAATAATTACGAAATTATAAAACGACATATAATTAAAATGAATGTAAACAATAAACATCAACATATTTGTTATCGAAGTTATCAAATATGATTGTAGGTATTCAAAAAGGAAATTTACTGAAAACATTGTTATAAAATAGACGCATGACTACAAAAATAATTAACTACCATTCAAAATAACTTGTCAAACCAATGACTATATAAAGTCCCAATCCCAACCTAGAACTAAACATAAAAGTATTTACAACAATTCCTCTATGACGACACTTTTCTCTAAATTCTTCCCCGTCTCAGAAACCTCGCCATTTTCATTCACTAACTCTATTTATTTTGTTAGTCGTAACGTCATATCACACATATTAATAAAAACAAATTATATAATAATTTGTTTAAAATTATATAATCATGCACTATTTCCAACATACTCCATTTTTTCTTCAGGTAAAACACAAATATTATCATTTGAAATTTATGATAAACTCGCTAAATAGAGTGTCAGACTTGCTCGCATTCTCTTTTTAGCAACTCACTTTATTTAGCGAGTTTCACTTTCACATCAGTTGCAACTAATAATGAAGCGCGTGTCAAAAAGAGTGTCAGACTTGCTCGCATTCGTGTTTGGTATAAAGGACATTGGATATACAATTCATTCTCACCGAAGCATTCTCTTTTTTCCTGTGGAATCAATATACAAATTAACAGTGAAGTACCTAACCTGGTTAATTTAATGTAATGTCTATTGCCTAGCCTTCTGTAAAACATCCTTCAGAACCAACGCAATTCTCTGTGACATATGGTGCTCCAGAAACCTCTCCTTCACTCTCTCATACCCTTTCTTTCCCATAGTCAGCCTCTTCTCCACATGAGTTGCCAATTTCACAATGTTCTTTGCCAGAGGTATCACGCCTTCTTTTGCAACAGGATGCAGCAAACCGGTTGTACCATTCACCACAATCTCCATCGTGCCTCCAGCTGCTGTTCCCTGCGAATTTTTTTTAAAGAACTAAGTTACGGGAAAAAATAAAATAGACATGCAAAAACATGTTTGCAATGTATAGATTCCCGAACTTGCACTGGTTTAACCAAGTTGAAACAGTCCATAAATAAAAAAGATGAGTTATGTTTTGAGATAACAAATTTCAAATAAAAAGCATAATTAAACTTCAGTATCGTCAATGTAGTGTACAACAACTAAAAAGGGAGACCACCCAGTAAGATTTGGGGAGGGTAAATGTAGAAAACTAGCCAAACTAAAATGTCTCGTGCTCTAACTGAAATCACCAGGAATTTGACTATACAGTATTCTGTATGTTGTTCACGTTAGCCCAGTACTGGCTGTATATTAGCTTCCGGTATGAGTAAATATTTCTTTCTTGATAAAAATATTTACCGGAACCAAAATATCCCCAAACTAGCTCAATAATCATGGATGCATTACCTTGAAAACAACTTTGATAACTAGAAGGTGGAGGTAGAAGATTGAGCAAATTGAACGGTAAATAAGTGACAACTGACAAAGGTTGAAATATTCAAAGGAATAGTGCATAGGGTGAAACTCAAGTTGCTGAAAGCTATCCTAATCTTTTTTCCTTTTAAAAAAAAATCAACAAAAGAAAAATCAAGTGCCTAAAACTTAGACGGACTAATTGATAAATAGAGCATAGGGTGCAACTCAAGTTGCTGAAAGTTATCATAGTCTTTTTCCTTTTAAAAAAAATCAACAAAAGAAAAAACAAGTGCCTAAAACTCAGATGGACTAATAGATAAATGAATAAATTAAGAGTTGAAATTCCCACAAGGATGTAGCTAATGAGCGTGCATAGCAAGGCAATTTGGTACTTCATTAAGGCCACAAAAGCTTACAAAAGTGAAATAACTTTTGTTTCTATTTTTTCTTTTTGTTAAGGAGTACCAAAGGAAAGTAGTAAAATGATAAAAAGTAACGTTGAAGATATTAAATATAAAAAAAAAACAAAGTATATTATCATATAAAACTGTGTAGAGCAAAATTGTCCATAATTAGTGGCAATTATACAGACAAAAATTATAAATAGAAATGTCAGTCTGAAATGGCAACTATAATCTGTAGTAAAGGAGATACCAGTACAGGCAGCCGAAATGCCATTGCTTCAATGGTTATCCTTCCAAAACATTCTCCCCTTGCCTGATATGGAGATAAGCACATTCATGAATGAAGCCCAAAAACCAAAATAAACATTAAACAGGATATATAAACACAACTAAAAAGGACATAAAATTATATTTCCTTTAAAAAATCAGGGTTTCTATTAGAAATTCAACAGTGGTCGGTCCCCATAACCTATGATGTTGTTCCCCTGTTGCAGTCATATGGCAACTTTCAATCTGCCAAAACAATAGAAAGAAATATACATTCTGTTTCATAATCAATTTTGCAGAGTATATATGAGAAGATAACCTGAGAATTCTGAACAAGAACATCAATAGAAGCCAGGTAAGGAGCCACAGCCAGGGTTTTGTTAACAAAGTGAACACGGTCCTGAATCTTTTTCTCAACAACAAATTTGCGCAGTTCCATTTCAAACTTCGTCTGTTTATCCATATCACTCCCGACGACCACAGCATGCAAAGATGGCAACTGGAGTTTCTTCTCCTGAATGAGTTGCAAACTTTCATAAAAGGAACGAAGAAATAGATCCTGCCCTTTACCACGAGAAACACCTGCAATTATATCACCCTAGGGCTTAAAATATAAATTGGTAAAAGGATTGTCAAGATGAACAAAAAGGATATAATTTATAAACACCACACTAGGGAAGGATTCAACTGGCATGCACAACAAGAGGAAAAGAGAAACTACAATCAAAATGATGTTAATTAGGTACTAACCTCGCAAGCAAATCATACATTATATTTGGATTAAACTAGCCCAATAAACTACAAATGAATATAAAATTATTGGAAATGACCAATAAGGAAGAGATCATACTATTTATGATGGCAAAAAGTAGATCATCATTTCTCACTCCAAGAGATTCCCGAACATGCTCACGAAGAACTCTCTTTGCTACACTATCTTCTGCAACTTCCATAAGCTCCTTGCTATTTCCAAGATGTACAACATAAGTTTCAGGCATTTTAATCCTATAAAGTTGGACCAAAGCATACAGTTAGAAACACAACTCAAATTATAGCAGTCACACAGAACAGGTAGCAGTAAAATTCTATGAAATGATGTTGAAAGCATACCCTAAACGCTCCCTAGTCCTATTCTTCCAGTACTCGGCAGTTGTATGTGAATCAATCATTGCACCTGCAACAAAAGGGAGGTGCTTAACATATTCCACTTTGAAATAATGCCCTCGCATTTCATGAATCCACCATAAAACCTTTGGAAGAACACGGTCAACTTTTTCCTTAAGAACGGCATCCAGCCACTTTCCAGCAACAGCAGTATTTAGAATGACCATATCAGCTTTAAGTGCCACATCAACAGCCTCTTCACCTTTGGCTGACAGGACCTAACAGGAGCCAAAACATATGAATAAAGGCTGCACATAGAAGAGCAATAACACATGGATACAAAATGCTGATCTAGCCATTTCTTACAGATTGGAACTAATATCCAACTCAATCAGGAAACAGAAAAAAGGGGTGAAGAATAATTCCTCTCTCTATCAAATATTTGAAGAAGTCAATTCTAAATTGAAATCGTGGAAAGATAAACAGGTTTACAATAACATATGCATCCTCCAGCATCTCTATAAAAATGTTGAAATGTGGTTAATAGGTTAAAAGGAATAGGCATAGGAGATTCATTAGTTTTATATTTTCACAGTTTATATTTATGTTTGGTCCCTACAGTTTACCTTGGTTTTGATTTTTGGTCCTTATACTTAAAAATAAATGGTTTTCAGTTACTATTACTTCATTTCATTCAAGCTTTGCTCTCTCCTGCTAGCAATACACCATCACCATACCCTTCGAGAGACAGCTATCTAAATCAATCTGGTTAAACTACAGGGGCCAAAATCTAAAGAAAACCAAACTATAGGGATTAAAATCCAATATCTATAACAATATATAAAGGGGGTTCTAACTAACATTGATTGGCATAAGCCATAACGGCTTGTGTCCTTTAACCAAGTTGTCCAGAGTTCGAATCTTAGCTTTGGGTATTAAATAAACTAAGTAGGGAGAGGAATACCTACCTTGTGTACACTCAAGGTTTCTACGGAGATTAGTCACTACTTTGGTAGATACTTCGTACCAATACTATGGTTACCAAAAAAAATATCAAGGGGATTCTCCCCTTTCATGTCTATTTTCACTAATATGTTTATAGCCCTCTATTATGTCTTTCCATTAATATATTTCTAAAGGATTATTGTTGAGTGTCTTTTATGCATGATTTGCACTCAATTTTTGGTACTTTTTTTGGTAATTGTAGATATTATATATGTTATTTTACCCCCCTTTATTTAAAGAATCAAGTTATACTAAAAGAGTAGAGGAGTAGTAGCAAAATCTTAAGGAATTTCCTCATTTTTTGCAGGTTTTTTAGGAAGGCAAAGATCCACAGCCATAGCTGTGGATCTGGAGCTCGAGCCGTGGAAATCTGGGGAGAAATTGTGAAGGTCAAAAACTTGCAGCTATAGCTGTGAAAATCTGGAATGCTCATTTTTTGGTTCCAGAGACTTGAAGTTAAAGCTGTAGGTCCATAGCTTGAGCATTGAGGCTTGGGAGATCAAGGAAAGTCACAGAGACTCACAGCCATAGCTGTGGTTTCACAGCTACAGCTTAGGGAGTTGCTTAATCATGAAGGATTTTCCACAGCCATGGCTGTGGAGCTACAGCTGCAGCGCCAGGAGTTTCTTCACACTGAAGGACTCTCCACAGCTATAGCTGTGGATTTACAGCTGTAGCTGTGAGCATGGTTGTCAATCTCTAGTGACAACTCGTAAACTCGTACGAGTTTACGAGTTTACAAGAGCTTACCTGTACAACTCGGAGGTAAACTCGTTTTTTAGTGAACTCGGAGCAATCTCGGTAAACTCGGGTAAACTCGTGTAAACTCGCGAGACTACCTCCGATATTAAGAGTTCACCATTTTTTTTTTCACTTACACAAAACGCACTTTTTGTGTTGTGGGTTAGGGCACTTTGTCTCCTTTTCTCCTCTAACCTCCGCAGCGCCTCTTCCACGACTCTTTTCTCTTCTCCACGCCTCACCTCAGCTCCTGACCTCCGTTCCTCACCTCCGCGCCTCAACCACCTCCTCTGCGCGACACCACCTCCGCGCGCGACACCTCCTCTGCGCGACACACCTCCGCGCGCGACACACCTCCACGCGCGACACACCTCCTCTGCGTGCGACACACCTCCTCCGCGCACACCACCTCCGCGCGCAACACCTCCTCCGCGCGACACCACCGCTCCTCACCTCCGTTCCTCCGCGCGCCTCGCCACCGCGAGCGCAACACCTCCTCCGCGCCGCACCACTGCTCCTCACCTCCGTTACTCATGTGATGTCTTAGTTTTTTATTTGTCTATTTTTAAGAACTTGTGTTTTGTCATTTGTGTGAACTTTTGATCTTAAATTTGTGTTAAGAACATTTATTATTAATGTAATTTGCTATTTGGGAGTTAAAATATTCAATTATTATGTTATTTTTATTTATTTATTTATTTATTTATTATTGAGTAATCTCTTACGAGTTTACGAGACGAGTTTACGATACGAGTTTACGGAGCCTCCACGAGATTACGTAAACTCTCGAGATTGACAACCTTGGCTGTGAGAGGAAAAATCACTTTTTGCCCCTATTTTAAAGCTCATATAAAAGGGGAAAAGCGAAGAAACAAGACATCACGAAAAATACAGAGAAAAACAGATTGAGGAGCACGTGAAGAGGGAAGAACAAGGGGAGAACAAAGATTTGGGAGCTGAATCCTTTGGAAATGAAGATCAACTCCATTTCTTCATCCTTTACTTTGTAATTTCTTCTTTTCACTCTTTGATCCTGTAATGGCCATGCGTGGCTAACTCATTAAGGATTGGTTGGATGTAACTACTAACTCTTCTTCTTCTTAAATATATGCATTTTGATCTCATTATTTGTACTTGATTCTTCTCTTAATGCTTATATCAGCTTGATCACCCGTTGTATGAATTTTGGTTTTTGAATCTAGTTGGAAAACGTTTTTGGAAACCCGAACTGAATCTTGCACCTAATCATTTCTTGTTCTAGGAATAGACTTGATTTGGTTAGTCACATTGTTCAAGTCATTGTTCTTAATGCGAAGTGTTAAACTCGAAACATAGAGGAATCATGTTTTGAGCTTAATGACTTTAAGATTCAACCTTGAGGAATCTTGTTGGATTAATTAATGAACGTGAAAATAATGAAATTAGAATCGCATTTATTTTAAGGAGATCTACGAGTTAGCAAGTACTTCTGAACCAATCCTTGTTTCTTAACCATTGTTCTTACTACTTTTATTTTATTGTGTTGTTTTACTCTATCTTTACTCATTTGCAATTATAACATTCTCTTTTAAATCGTTAGAGCAAGAATTACTAAACACTCAAATCCCTGAGGACAATATTTGAATACTACTTCGAAACATGGTCCGCTTGCCAAGTGGAGAGATTGCGAAAAACCACATCAAGTTTCTGGCGCCGTTGCCGGGGAAAATGATGGAGGGGTGACTCTTCCCTTCAACTTTGCATTAGCCTAATTTCTCCACTTTCTTTCAGCTTGGCAATTTTTACCTACTACCCTCACTTAATCCCTAATTCATTTTCATTTACTCTCAAGAGTTTGGTCAGGGTGATGAGTTCGTATTTGGGAGATGTTTAAGGTTATTTGAAGGTTAAGGCTCAAACAGGTTTTAAAGGATGGATTCAATTATGGCTAGCTGTTTGGCTCTAGGCTTAAGAAAATTTCAGTTATTCACAATGGGATGCCTTGATCCTGTCCAAAACTTCTCACAAGAGCAATCATTCAAGACTCAAACAATGCAAACACATATGCAATGATGATGGCTCTCAAAGTATAAATGTATATGATAGATGCACTGTTTAGTCTTTCTCACTCACCAGCTTGGCTAAATGTTCAATTACTGATCTTTCATGCCATGCTAATCAAATATCTCACAACTTCATGATCAAGCAAATTGGATGAGTACAACCTCAAAGCAAGTCTCAAAACAAACCATTTTAAGGTGAATCAAAAGATGTGTTTTCACTTTTTGTTGATCTAAAAGCCATCTCATTTATTACCTCCCAAGAATGATTTTCATTTTTTCCCAAAAGATATTTAAATATATATACATTTTTTTTTCAAAAAGTATATATGTATATCCCAAACATTATAAGATTATACCACAAAGTATGAGTTGAGTTCAACCAAGGACATCAAAAGTTCAACCATGAACACAAAATTTCACCATGAACACCAAAAGTTCAAACAGAACACCAAAACAAGTAAACCACCAAAATAGTCCAAACGAAACGAAAACTAAATAACTAAAATTAAAATGACTTGAATTTAAACTGGCATAAAATTAAAATTAAACTCCTTTTCTTCAAAAGGTGGGTGATAGTGACCCATCATCTCCTCCTTCTTCACCAACTTGCTCTCCCTCTGAATCCATCACCTGCTCGCCATCATGATTTCTACCAGCTTGTTCTCCTTCTGAATCCATCACCTGCTCACCTTGATGTGGCTGTGCATCACCCCCTCCTGGAAAAACAGGGTTGTCCCCAGGCCAAAGAATAGCCCGTTGAAATTGCTCTGGGGTAGGCCAGGGGTACAAGCTGCCACCGGTGTCGGCCTGATGTAAAGTGTAGTTGTAAAAGTATGAATGCAAGGCCAACTGTCCACGATGATTAGCAGCCTGTTGAAGTTGCACATGGCAGAGATGAGCCATCTCCAGCTGGTGACGTTGCTCAATGTGCTGGAATTGTTGAGCCATGTAATCTTGCATGGAAGAAAAATCAAAGGGACCAAGTGGCGGGGCTTGAGGTGCAGACACTGGAATTGTTGTAGCATCGGACATTAATAAATACATGATCAATCTTCTTTCTGATGGGAGTCAGTGGTTGTGGAATATGAACTCCCTTCGCCTTGCACATACCGGTGATGAGTCCCAGGAAAGCTAAAGGCCGCACCGTGCCAGATTTTGAAGGCTTGGACAGAACGATGGCGTGCATATCATCAGAAATCAAAGTGGCAATGTCCACATCTCTCTGTTGCATGATACAGAAGATCAGCTTTGCTCGTGCAATGGTGATATCTGATGTGTGGGTTAGAGGAAGGATATTGTTGTATATAACCGCTTGCCACAATCGAATAACAAACTTCAAATCTGATCTGAGTATGTGGGTGGGCTGATTTCTGGTACCAGTTTGGTATTGGCTACCAGGAAGACTAAGAGTTTCTAGTACCAAGGCAGACATGTCTTCATCCATAGCTGTGCTTGAGCTTCTGATAGTCGTCTTCTGCAGGAATGGCATA